CGTCGGTGGTTTTTGATGTTTGGTGGACGATGATGAGGAAGCCCCCTGCTTTCCCTTATAGGCTTGGCTGGTTGGCAACCTGAGTGTCTCGGTTTGTTGCTTGGTGGATTATGGACTGTGTTCGTATAGCTATCACCTACGAATGATCTGTGCTTGACTGAGAGGTTTGTGTTGAGGGCCTCCATTCTTGAGCCCCTTTTTGTTGCTTATTATGCTCTGTTTGATTTTATTGGATTTTACTATTTTGTATCATGAGTTATTGGCCTATAGATGTTGTACCCCTTTTTACTATTGAATAATATTGTGCTTTGTTCTTTAAAAAAAAAAGTATATAATATCAATTGAGACTTATGAGCACAAATGAAGAACCCTCATATTACAAATTTTTATTTTGCAAACATAATATTAAAAAACTTGATTTATGAGCCACACTTTTATATTTTATCCCAATAAATAATTATTTAAACAAAATCATTAAAAAATCAGTTTTCATTAAACAAATTTCACTTTTTGCTACCTTTTATTTGTTCATATCATAAAATAGATAAAGAGTAAACTTTTTGAATTAATGAAATATAGAGTTTAATTGGAATTCTATTATTTTTTTATAGTATTAGCATTTAAATGTACAATTATTTTAAGCTGACGTGTCTCTTCATGATTGGGGAGATAGGGAATGGATTGACCTCAGAAGTACACCACCACAGAGATTTGGCTTTGTGGGCCAACACCTATCATTAGTACATTTAGATAATCTCTAATATAAAATAAAATTTGATTTGTGATAGCATGATTTAAATTAAAAGATTAAAATCTATAATTACTAAAATTATTTTCATATGAATATAATTAATTAATATTTATATCACATTCACTTAATGAATATAAAAAATAATATTTGTTATACACAATGAGCTCATTCCTCTTTTATAAATTTCCTAAACATTGCATCAGCCTCTTAATTAAGACACAAAATAAGAACATAAGATAATAATGCCCAAATTAGTAGGAGGTAGTTGGTGAAGCTAATCTAATCCTCAATATTAATTTAACTATTCCAATAAAAAATTAGAAAAAGATGACCCATTTTAAATATCTATAAAAATATTAATTAATTCTCATCATATATCCAGCAATAAAAAAGTCGCCACAAACGAAACCTAAAGCCCAAAATTTATAATAAAAAATTGAGTCACTTAATTTGATTAGGGTAAATTTTATTTTAAGATGCATGTAATGTATAACTTATTAATTAATTATTATATTATATTAATTTCTATATTAATATAATAAATAACAATTTAATGTCAAAATATTGTGATATATATATCATGGGTTAAATCATTAGCATTCAATACATGCTTTAGAAAGCAATGATTACACTTTATCAAATTTGGTTTAAATTTAAAACTTGATAATATCATCAAGCTAAAGTTTCACCCAAAGGATTAGAGGTTTAAGCTAATAAGTGCATTAAATAACTCTATATGCATATATGACTCATTTCTATTTATTTATTTACTTAATTAAGAAAATTTTTAAAAAAATTAAAATTAATAAATAAACAAATTTGAATAATGATTCACTTGTTCATTTATGTTTGTGTACTTATTTATTTTTCAATTAAATCACTAAGAGTATGATAAAATGCTCACTTAATGATTATCTCATTTTAATTAACTTAGGTTTCATTTGGGACAACTTTCTTACTGTTACTTAAAATAGCTTTCTAGTATTTAAATTTTACTTTTAATTTAAAAAAATGCTTTAAGAAGTAGTAAGAAAGCCGTCCGCTTAGGGGTGTCAATTTCGGGTCATGGGTCGACGGCACTATTCGGGTCAACCCAAACCAGACCCGTTTTTACAAACGGGTCGATTTACCAGACCCGAACCCAACCCGCGGACACGGCAAGACCGGGAGCAGCTTCATGGCATCGACGGCAGTGACGTCCGGCAGCAGCGACCCTTCAGCGCGGCAGCAGCGTCCGACGTCCAGCGACAGCTGTCACGGACTCACAGTCACGGGGCAGTCAGCGGGCAGCAGTCACGCGGTATTCGGTCAGCGGGCAGCGGTCACGCGGGGGTCAGCGGGTCAGCCGGTCACGCGGGGCAGCAGTCACGCAGTCACGCGGGGCAACCGGTCAACCCGTCGGGTCAACTCGAACGGACCCGTTTTTCAAACGGGTCAATTTCTGGAACCCGAACCCGACCCGATTTTTTGAAATCGGGTTGGGTTCAACCCGAATTTTCCATGTCGGGTTTTCGTGTTTTCGTGTCGTGTCAAATATTGACACCCCTGCGTCCGCTCCGTTCGAGACAGCTTTAATACTGCTTTTCAAAATAGCCTTTTAATTAAAAATTATGCCATCTAGACTCTGCACATAATAATTTCTCCAACGATTGATCCATAAGCTTGGTAGCCCCAAAGATAAATTCTACCCACCAAAGCACCGACCACAGAGAGGGTAAAAAGGCTTACTCGATTAAATCTTTCCATTGATGACAGATATGGCAGAGAGAGATCTCTTTCATGACATTGAAGAAATGGAAGGAAAACTTTTATGATTAGATAAAAAAATATTATGGAGGGAGGGAAGGTGAAGAAGATAGAAAGGGCGGGCAGGTGAAGAAGATAAAAAAACAAAGAGCCTTAGTGGGCTGCCCACAAAATGGTGTTTTCAACGTCATCATGCGCGCCTTCGCATTGTGCTTCTCTTTGCACTTCCATTCCATAGAAACCAAAAAAAAAATAAAAAATAAAAAAGGATTTTTTTTTTTCTAATTTATGAATTATACAATACATCATATGTGAAAATAATGAGTTGATTTTGGTGCTCGACAGATAAGACACTCGTTGAATAATGATAAGATTCTCTATTTGAGCTACTAACATTTATATACATTATTATTATAAAATAATAAATTATAGAATTTTATGAAATATATTATTCTCATCATAAGTCATGATTATTCGATAAGATTAGAAAGTGTCGTAGTAGATGATTTGGTCAAATAAAATGTCGGTCTTCGAATGGTCCGATTAGGAGAATATATGTATTATATTTGACTTATATTAAGAAATATAGGTGCAAGCCTAAAAAGATTTTGGGGATATTTGGGTGGAATACTTTAGAGTATAAAGTTGGTATTTAGTTGAATGAAAAATGAATGCAAAATAAAGTAAATGTAATATAAATAGTTTTAGTTCATTTCAAGCTTGCATGTTTATCGCCAACAGCAAACCAACGTTGGCCGTCACCTCCACCTACCTCAGGCCACCAACAGTGGTCATCGCTGCCACCCGCTGGCCACCATCCACCACCAACCACCCGCCACCCCCGTCACCTACCAACCACCATCACTACCACCCTCATGCAGCTGACCACCACAACCGGTAGCATACCACCATCACTACTTGCTGCAAGCCACCAATGACCACCATCTCTAAACTTTATATTACATTCATTTTACTGTAAACAAAATTAAAAAAAAATCATTCACCTAAATTTATTTTATATTCATCCAAACAACACCAAAATATTTTTTAAACTATATTCCTTTTACACTTCATTTTTTTTTACCAACTAAACAACCCCTCAATTAGAAAATATTAACATGATATTATTTTATTATATTTAAATAAAAAATTTGACTCTTAAAAGAATACAATGGAAATAAATCATGTAATATATCTCACCTAATGAGAAAAAGGCTTGATGCTGTTGTATACTATTCTCATCACATGTAATAAATAAAAATAATAATAATAATTACTATATATAAGCTTTCTTATAACTTTTTTATTCTAATATTATTGAATTTGCATCAAATTCACTATTTTTTTTTTTTTTTTTTTGGGTTTTTTTTTTTTTTTGAGTGGATTATAAACTGTTAAAGAAAAAAAAAATCTATTTCCTCTATGAATGTGGACCCCATGAGGCATCTTACTGTAGAAAGTGACGTGTCTACATATCATTGGCGAGGAGTCAATTTAGGTGAATGATAATGAGAAGATAAATCATATTATAAAGAAGAATAAGCATCTCGATATTTAAATATTGAGACTATGTTAAGATGGTCGCATGCGAACGAGTGGCAGTGGCTCAGCGGATCAGCTAAGTTAATATTGCATGTTTGTACTTTTTGAATAATTAAGGAATCGACTATTATAAGTCCACCTCAATAGTGACGCCAAAAGATGGGCAGCCGGCCGTAATTGGGACATCTATACGGATGCTTAAAGGACTATAATTTATATATTATATCTTTTTATGCCTAAATAATATTTTTATTCTTAGGTTCCAAAAATGAAAATTTGTATTTAGTCAACAGCTAACGTAAAATTAGTCGAATAATTATGAAATAAATCATTTTGATTTTTTACTGGACACAATGAAGAAAAATGATTCATGTAACCGATCTCATATAGTAGGACAAATGTTAGATGTTGTTGTTATTGTATGTCTTTTTATGCCTAAATTTTAACGTGATTAAAAATACTATAATGATCTCTATAGATAGCTCATTTGAGCATTTAAAATATTAATTTTATAATACTTAATAGTTTAAATAGCAATAAAAATAATATTAAACTTGTCAACTTTTTGTCACCTTCACAAAAATGAATTCTAGCCACCTTCACAAGCCATCAATTTTGGGTAAATTATTGTGTCCGGTGTCCAGATTCGTCCAGACACCAATAAAAACACGCCACGTCATTCAAAAATATTGGGGCCCAGTGCATCCGGGTGAGGTGACGTCTCTGGATTGGATGTCTGCATGTCAGATGACCGGACGCAATAATTTGCCTCAATTTTGATACCATACTCGCATGCCATTGGTCCTCTCATTATCTTTGCATCTCATCGGTCTCGTCAATTTCTTTCTCAATAGAATCTCGATGCTTTGCTAGTTGGCTTTGACAGTGAAATAAATGTACGACAGTCGAAGCCTCCTCCCAGCAAAATCTTATCTCAACCCCGTCTCCGACGAGATTTATCATGACTTTAGTCGAGGATTTCGCTAAAGGAGTCCATGAAAGTGTTGCATTACATAAATATTAAGATTTAGGAGTAAAATATGTAAATGAAAAAATTTTGAATGTTATATATGTAAATCTCTTCCGAAAATTTATATGTTATATACTTGTAAATCCACCAAAATAATAAATGAATAATCATGCAAATGCGTCCTAAAACTGCTTGTTACTTCCACATCATCTATGCCACGTTGGAAACCTCCCATCCACGTCATCCTTCCTCAAATAGATATTAGACACGTCATCAAATGCTCAATATGCATAAACTACTATAACACAAGCCATTCGAGCCTATAAAGCAACGGAATAGAAGGCCAAGTTATCACACAGAGGGAAAGCAAGCAAGGCAAAAGCTTCTAGTAGTAACAGAACAAGGAAGCAGGGGAAAAGGAGTTCAAAGAAGGTCGATGGTGGTGACAAAAGAAGGAATACGCAAAGGGCCCTGGACAGAGCAGGAAGACCTGCAACTGGTATGCTTTGTGAGCTTGTTCGGTGAGCGTCGTTGGGATTTCATAGCCAAAGTATCAGGTTTGAGGGTGTTGGAGGGGGACTGGACATAAAAAAGTTTTAGTTTTGATAGTTTCTAACACCCAAAAAGTGCTTTTTTTCTGCTTTCTAATCTTTCTTGTAGGTCTTAAAAGAACTGGGAAGAGTTGCAGGTTGCGTTGGGTTAATTACCTTCATCCAGGTCTCAAGCGCGGCCGTATTACTCCTCAGGAGGAGCGCCTAATCCTCGAACTTCACTCTCAATGGGGCAATAGGTTCGTCATACTTTAATTACTTCAGTGGTGGAATCATTCATTTATGCGAACAGAAATCTAAATGTGGAATGAAAGATAATGGGAAAATCATGGCTCTGTAATTTTTTTACCTTGTTTTGTGCGCCAAATCTGTATTTTTATTCTGCATTATCTTGTCCAGGTGGTCTCGGATAGCTCGAAGGCTCCCAGGTCGCACTGACAACGAGATAAAGAATTACTGGAGAACTCACATGAGGAAGATGGCACAGGAGAGGAAGAAAAGCTCCCCTCTTTCTTCATCAACCTGCTCGTCTGAAAGTGAGCAGCTAGAAGAGGCTGTTGGAATGGAGAAGCACGAACAATCGAGTTATATGATGACAAGAGCTTTAGACATTAAGGAAGAAGATGAAGTACTGAAGGTGTACCCCATGGATCAGATATGGAATGAGATTGCAGGCACATTGGAATCGACGACCAGCGGTTTGAGCTTTGAGAGGTATGGTCAAGAGGCCTGCAACATCTCATGTAATTCTGCTTCTATGCCTTCACCTCTGTGGCAGAACTGCGCCGAATCTCTATGGAAGATAGATGATGATGATGATGATGTTGACCTCGGCATTGATATAGAGTCTTAGAATTCATTAAAAGAGAACTTGTTTATAGATGTGAAGCTTGTCTAAGGCTTCGTTTGTGACAGCTTTTTTATGCTTCCTAAAGCAATTTTTAAGTACAAAAATTAAAATTTTTGTACTTAAAAATTACTTTAAGAAACAGGAAGAAAGTCATCTCAAACGAAGCCTAAGATAGATAAATAAATATATGTATATCTGCGGTGTGCTACTTCAAGTATATATCTTTCATGTACTGGGTTTGGAAGTTTAAAAGCTGCATTCCTAGCTATCTTGTTTTAAGAGTTTATTTATGTTTTATATTGCTATCTAGCTTGAAAGTAGGCACTGCAATATCTTAGGCAATTAATAGTTTGTTTAAGATATGAATAGCTTGTATATCACCACATATGATGTTGGATTCCTGGTCATATTGTGATCAAGATAATGAAAAACAAATAATCATGTTGCATTTCCATACAAAAGACAAAGCAACAGTTTAAAAATAGAAAGAATTACCTTTTTTAATTCTAGATTAAAAAATAATAATCCAAATCATGACTCTAATTACTACTATTTAAGCTTATTGGGAAAAGTTATTTAAGCTTATTGGGAAAGAATATATTTAATGGTGAAAGGCCAAAACAATGTTCTCTCTATGGAGTTGTACTGCAAAGGTACACCAAGGTACTCCAAACATGACAAGTGAACAACAAGAACACCACCACCTTTCCCCTAACCAAAGATGGATCCAAAGCCTTTTTCAATATTCCTTTTTATTTAAATGGGAGGTTAGCATGGCCCGATGCAATTAATAATTGTTAATAGTAATTAACTAAAAAGAAGATTAGTGGCTGAGATAGGTAAGTTAGAAAAAAAAGGCAGTGATAAGTTCCAGGCTCTCTACATTGGCAGGAAGTGGCCCTACTTTCTATTACCTTAGTGTTATCGCATAGCTTTAATAAACTTAGTGCTTCTCCAACCATTCAACTTTATCTCTGAGGTCCACTTCTGTCACACTTGCAAGGATCCAACAGCAGAATCTTTGTGACTGCTCAAACGTATACTCTATCCATACCACTACCACTAAAAAGAAAAAATAGAAAATTTCTGGCATGTCATCATGATTATGAATGTCACTGGTCTAACACCCGCTATTTAGGGTAAGCTTTTTGAATTCTAAGGCTTCGTTTGATTAGTCTTATTTTCACAATCTTCATTAAAAAGTTTAGCAAAATATCTCATCCATCTTTGTTGAATATCATTTTCTAAGAAAAGTATTTTTTGATCTTCATCTTTAATATACTTCACTTGAACTAAATCCTTACTATTCCTATCTCTTTGTTTGGCTAACTTATACATATATCTTTCTCCCTCTTTAATATCTAATCTATTATATAAATCACTAAAAGCTAATGCCTTTGCATCGCATATTGCTTTCTTAGCATCCTTACGAGCCACTTTATAAAAATAAGTACTTAAAAAATGTTACTCAAACAAAATTTCATAATTAAAACTCGGTCTTAGTAAACCCTTCTTTCCCAATATCTATTTCTAAAACTTCATTTTAAATAAGCAACAACCCAACCAAACAAAGCTTAAATCTTCATTCATTTCTACAGGGTACTGTACAAGGTATTATATCTTTTTTGTGACATTTCACACTTTTTTCTTCCTAAACCTTTTCCCGTCTAAACTTTTGCAAATTTATCAAGTATAATTGCATTTAGAGAGGGCTCTCTGAGGTCATTTATATAGGTTATTCCTCATCATCATTAGCCTTATCCTAATTATTTGAAATTGAAGTCACTTATCCAATGCATTAGAGCTATGAATTTGACTCAACTATCAAGGACTGTCGAAGGGTCGATTAAGTTTTGATTGAATCATATTGGCGCGCATATATGAGTGCACACATACATAAATTTATGTTGAAGTTTGCATTTCATAATTGTGTATTCACATATATGCATCAATATATATGTACATATAATAATGTGCTTTTTTTTATATATTTGATACATATATATTTGACTTAAAAAATAAAAAATAAGTAAGCTCAAACTGCTTGGATCAAGATTAGATCCTATTGCTCTCTTTCCACTACAACCTGCACTATTTCACTATCATCCTACATGCTGTCAAGGTCCTGCACTCTCTAGACTCGTTGGCTCATTTCCCCAACAATTCACCATGGTCTACAACCTCTCACACGCACGCATCTCCCTATTTGAAGAGATTATTACTTGCAGTGTCCGAACACGCCACGTCACCCGGATGCATCGAGCCCCAGCTGACATGGCGCTTCAGGATTCGCATCCGGACGCCACACGTAATAATTTTCCCCCAATTTGACATTGAGACTAACCCCAATGGCGCTTCCTATCACGTTCCTAGCCGTTCATCATTAAGACCTCACTACCAAACTATTTTTTATTGTTCTCCCTCTCCACCACGCCCTAGCTCCAACAACCAATACATCTTTTGTTCGACTCAATTCTAGTGGCTTCCTATGCATAATCACAATTATAAATTCAATTTCTATCTCACAATTGCAACTAAATTGAAGATCTCACATATCTTTGGAACGATTGATTTTTAAAAGCCACGCCTATGCTATTGATCTTTGGCCTACCACTTCAGTTGATCTTTGGTTTGGATAACCGAGTGTTTTCTTATCCACTAATTATTATGCATAATCAAAATAATAACTTGAAATAGCCTAAAAGAAATGTAGGTGAATATTCAAAGAGCCATTGATTTTTGGTTACATGTCCAAGGGTCTTGATAACACAAAGCATAGAGTTCAACCACCTACATATAAGCAAGCAATATTAAAGTCTTTATGCCTGGTGGCCCAAGTTGCTTGTAGTAGGACTGGGAGGTTCGGATGATATATTGGAATTACAATCAACATTCTATATATGTAAAAGATAATTTGCTGCGGAAAGAATCATTGAGCTTAATTACGACATTAAAACATTGTGAAACATTTTCAAAGAATTAATAAGGCTTAAATGTTTCAGTCAAGGCATGATGATAGTTGGGGACAAATCCCTACAAAAGTTCTGAGTAAATACATGTACAACAACAACGAGCTTTTATCCTACTATGTGGGGTTGGCTACATGAATTCTTTTTCTCCATTGTGCCCTGTTAAAAGTTAAATCCTCATTTAAATCAAATAAAGAAAAGTCATTTCTAATATTTTCTAATCAAGTCCTTTTAGGTCTACCTCTACCCTTCTACTTTTTTAACTGGGTCATCGGAAGACCGTCGTTTTATATGACCAAACCATCTAAGGCGACTCTCTCTAATCTTATCATGTTTTTAAGAGTAAAGCCACTCATCCACCCGAGCTTCCTCATCTCTGCAGCACTTAACTTAATATTATGCTTCTCTTTTAATGGCCAACATTCTACACCATAAAGCATTGCAGGTCTAACCACCATCTTATAGAACTTTCCCTTAAGTTTGAGGGGGGCATTTCTATCACACAACAAGCCCGATGAAATCCTCCACTTCAACCATCCAACTTGAATTCTACTAATAATATCCCCATCTATTTCACCATCACTCTGAACAATAGACCCAAGATATTTAAAACGTGTATTCTTCTTAATTACTTGATCACCCAAAGTCTCAATCCCCCCACTAAAGCTATTATTACTAAAATTACATTCCATATATTCAATTTTAGATCTACTCAAACGAAAGCCTTTAGACTCTAAGGTTGACCTCCATAATTCAAGTATACTTTCAACTCCCTCAATAGTAAATAAATGTAATGTTCATAAATTATTCCTTTGGCAAATTTATAATAGGAATAATAATCTAAAAAGGAACTTTAGGAGTTGTGTTGTCAAATGAGGCGAAGACATGTCTTTGTACGTTAATTTATTCATCGTTCTAATATAAAGCAATCCTAAGATAGAGCTGGTAACAACCAAATAATTATTAAAATAAATTTAAAATGAGAATCAAAATTTTTATCTGAATTATGGCGCAGTTGCACTGTGCCTGTAGGCACAACGCAGCGACACTGAGTCTGTGAACACAGCGGCACTAGAAATTGTCCCCGTGGCAATGAATGCTTTATTTTATAGTAATTATGGATTCAACATGCAGCATTGTGGCGCTAAGTCCCTTAGGCGTCGTGACGCCATACACGAAAATGAGTTTTTATATATATTTTTCTCTCCGCTCGCCTCCCTCACTCCCTCATCCATGGCTTGTCATGGAAGGAAGGAAGGAGGAGAGAGAAATCAATATTTCGGTTGACGATTTGTTTTGTCGCTTTTACGAAATTACTCAGATTATTGTAGGTGACTTATATCCTATTTTTCTTTTCAAAGATTTTTGATTTCTACTATTTGATTTCTTCTGAAATAATTTTATTGTATTTTCTCTGGAGTTAGCAAACTTGTACTGCATAACTTTTTATAAATCGTAGTATCGATTATTCTAGACATTTTAACTTATTGATTTTGCAATTTCACTGAGCAAAATGATAATTATTGTGTTTTGTACGATTTGCACAAAATAGTAATTTTGGCATTTTAATTTAAGCATATTGTTAATATAAGCATCGTGAATGAATATAGACATGTAATTGGGTAATAGTTAGTTACTATTACTGTTGTAATAGTATGCGTGAAAACAAGTAAAGACTAATTATTTACTGATGTTGGTTAGGGACTGACGTTATTTGTACAGAATGGTGGACTGACGAGCTTTCTTTTAAATATTGTGATTTTGTATTATATTATACTTATTTACGTGATTCAGTGATTGAGAGTTATAAAGAGATGATTACTATGACGATGAAAAAAAAATCGACGACTCTATTTATTAAGCTAATGATTATTAATTTAATGATTACTAGAAAAATGCCATGAAAGGCAAAGCTTCTTACTTGTTTAGTGTGATTACTGGAATGCATATTACGATACAGATTTATTGTCACTGTACTGCTTTACTATTACTGAGCATGTGATATAAGAAAC